CGCATTTTGATTCATTTCTAATGTAAAATTAAATAAAAGTTTTACCTTTATAGTAGCTCCATTAAAAAAAAAAAAAAAAAAAAAGCGATCTGGGTGTGATTTCACGGTGCTCGGCGGACATCGACAATCCACCGCCACGTCTCGGCGCCGCTCGCCGTCCTGTTTTGTTGTCCCTCGTCGGAACGTCGTTGGCTATTTTCTTTTTTTTTTTTTAACCGAATGTAAGTTATCCAGCTGCTTCTTGTTCCGCGCGGTCAAAGTTGTCGACGCGATCGGAGGAAAGGGGGCGGGGCCTAAAAGTCCACCCCTCCCCCCACCAACGCCGATCGACAGATCAGCTTTTGCCTTTCCGCCGAGGAACAAAAGGTAAAAAGACCACAGCGTAAAAGCGTAGTTCTAGAGTCGCTTGTGTTGTCGGGTAAAAAAAATATTGTACAGACATTTTACCAAAAAAACTTAAAAATGATAAAATACAAACGAGATGTACTTTTCATCTTAGCGTGATGTTTCACCTTAACGATGTTAAGTTGTTGCCGTGGCAACCAAACGTCGCAGTTACTAAAGTTGAGTATTTTTGTAAGACGTTCTGTTTTTTTTTTTTTTTTTTTTTTAGTTTTTTCTCGGAACACGAACGTTTCTTATTCTTCACCGAGATTTTCATTAGCGGAACTAGCGCAGCGATCGTAATAGATTTAAAATCATCGATCTTACAAATCTATATATATAAATATATATATATATATAAGAAGTAAATATTCTATAAATTATTACGTTCGGGTGTACTCCTCCCTGATAAAGGATGTTTTATTTCACGTAGAAATACTTTAGATTGCACTTTCTGAAACGTTTTCCTTCACTTGCTTTATGAGTTTTCGAGGTTTCAGCACGCCTGTTCGTCATTCGTAATTAATTCAACGCATGAAAAAACACGTCTCTTTATAAACTGAATGTTTGTACTGATTTAAAAAAAATAATCCTAATCTGGAAATCCCCTCGTTTTGATTGACGGACGGTTTAAAAACTAAACCTAAAGCACTTTCGCCGGAGCAGACTCTTTATCCGAACTTGGCCTTATCTTGACTCCGTCATTTTTAAGGTTTTAAAAGTTTGAACGAAATGTATTAAATACACTTGAACTGCTTTTCCTGTCGGATCCCGAGGATGAGTCTTGGTTTATTTTTGAGGGTTTAAGGTGGAGGACTGGGTCCGGTTGGCTCTCGATGGACCTGTACATTCACAGACCAGCCACAAGAGGGCGCAGCTCATTGCAGTTTACCTTTAAGACCCTCAAAGTTACAAATATAATCCTTTTAAATGTATTCTTTTAGCATATAATTTGTGCTACTTTATGTTTAGTCGAATGTTTCTTTGTTTCCAGCAAGATAGTGTACAAATTATTGAAATAAAGAAATTAAAGTGGCTCCTTTTTCTTTTCTGTCTGGCTTCTGTTTCATCACTAAAGTCTGAGATTTTTTTGTTGTTGTTATTTTTAGGCAGATCCAGAAGCTCGCCGCTTTTCGTTGATGGGACGTTTTACGAGTAAAGTCCAGCGCTATTCTCTAAAGTATTTTGCCACAGCATGAAAAGGCCAGAGACAGCTACAGGAAAGCTCCTCTGCATTATTTATTTTTATGTCATTTCCTGTTGCTGCAGCAGAGCAGCTGTTTAAAACTGTGCTATGAGGGGCGGTTAGTGCCACTTCAACCCGGTAAGTGACGTCAACATTGCTACAGCATTACTCGTTCTAGAAAGCTCTTCAAAACAGCCGTGTGTTTGAGCAACGACGCATGTTTACGATTAAACGATTACGCTTAATTCTGATTTGACAGACGAGCTAACCGCTAGTCAGAGCAGGGCCACGGTCAGTGCCGTCTTAAAACCATTCTTGGTACTGCCTTTTACAACTACATCATCAGATACCCCGTACGCTGTTAATCTGGTGGACACGTTCCCACAGGAAGTGCCAGAGCTAGCTGCTGCCGTTAGCTTTTAGACACCCATGAAAACGACATAATGTGAAATTAATGGTAATATAATTAAAAAATATCTGCAGAAACTGTTGAGTGTGGGTTCAGGATTGCAGCAGTACGTCTTGATCTTGGCCCTGCTCTGACTAGCCGTAAGCTCATCAGTTTGAGACGTCGACACAGGTTTACGGTACAAGAGCGCACATAAAGGCTGTTTGGTGAGACGTAAAATCTACCCAGGAAGTAGCTCCTCCTGTCAGATTGTCAAAATAAAAGGAAGCAGCTGAAACCCATTTTTCAAACTCTGGTCGCTCTAAGAGCTTTCTACAACAGGTACGACCCGGAAGTGAGTTGTGGTGCAGGTAGGACTAAAGACAGCCGTAATAAGGGAGCCGAGTTCAGTGGTAGTCACAGAGCTGACGGACGGGAAAGGTGGGAGATTTGTGGGGAATTGTCTGCTCTCTAATCTGTGGAAAACCTTTTATAAAAGTTAATTATAGTAATGGGGCTAAAATTAACTTACTAAAAGAAATGCATTATTTAAATGATTAGGGGAACAGAAAAGGCATTTATAATGGGATTTCTATGTGGTTGGTTTCCCCTGTAAAGAGCACTCGAGGGCAGTAATGTTACCGCAAAGTTACAGAGACGTTTAAAATAAATTGACAAAATAAAAAAGCATTTTTAGGCTTTGGAACGGTTGCGTTTATTGAAAACAAACTAATAAGAACAAGCTAAATAATGGGTGTATATATATATATATATATATATATATATATATATATATATATAATTTTTATCCTGACACTGAACAGCATACACAATCCCAAAATACATTACGGCAAAGACTGGTTCATCCCAAAGATCCAGTCCCCCGGCACAAACAGAGTAATGTTGTGTATGCTGTTCAGTGTCAGGAGGGTGATCAGTCTTACATCGGAGAAACTAAACAGCCACTGGCCAAAAGGATGGACCAGCACAGAAGATCAACATCATCAGGCCAGGACTCTGAGGTCTACACTCATCTCCAGGCCAGCGGTCACTCTTTCAGGGATGAAGATGTTCACATCCTGGACAGAGAGGAACGATGGTTTGAGAGAGGAGTAAAGGAGGCCATCTTTGTGAAAAGAAATCGTCCATCGTTAAACAGGGGTGGAGGCCTCCGGGTCCAACTGTCCCCCTCTTACAATGCTGTGATTGCTAGTATCACTCAGCCCTCTGTGAGTAGTAAACAGCCATCAGTGTGCTAATGACCCATTGTTAGGCTGATGGTCCTTCTTGAGCATGTGAGCAGCTGGTTTTGGTTGTCAGCAGCAAAACTGGTTGATCCACTCTGAGAAGGTGCTATTTAAGAGACTGAGCTGAAAACAGCACCTCAGACTGAGGAAGTCTCTCGGATGAGAGACGAAACGTTTCTACATTTTTTTGTTGATTTGCTTTGTTTTGTTTTTTTGAATGTCCAGAGGACCAGATTTAACCTTTTTAGAGTTCCTGTTTTTAGTTTTCTAAATCACCTCATCATCTAGCTGTTTTTTCGCTACTATTCCTCTTGATTGTCCTTTTGGTTGCTATTTTGTTTCAATTTGTAAAAAAAAAAAAAAAAAGAAAAACTTAAATCTGTATGCCTATTTTATGACTGTCTATTGTTGTCGTCGTTATCCATTGTTGTCATCACTCTTTTAAGAAATCAGGTCTCTCTTGTAAATGAGTCCCCGAGGCTCAGTGGGATTAACCTGTCTAAATAAAGGTTGAATGAATGAATTATGTATACATACATACCCATTTAACCATATACATTTATTCATACACATGTCCTCAGTACTACAGATTCTTGTATTTTTTTTGTCACTGTTATATCTGTATCCTTGGCACGAACTGCCCTCTATACCGCACCAATTGCTTGGGCACAAATCGCCCTCCATACAACAGCATCATCTTTTTGGCACGAATTGCCCTCCATACAGCTCCAGAGGCGTGGATTCCCCTCATCTCCGTCTTCTTGAGGTGAAATCATCTCCTTTGTGCCTTCAACTGGACCGAACCCCTCTGAGCATGTAGTCCACCTTCAGTGTTCCACGAACCATGTTCCGTCCATGTGGTTCTGATACCCGGTTCTGTTGGGTCCACACCGCCGCCTTCTTGCATTATGGATGCCAGCGGACCGGTGTCCCCTTCAGATAGCGTGGGAACGTCTCAGTAGCGGCTCCAGCATCCATTCGGGCCGCCCTCGGCAGAGAACCGGAGGCTGGACTGGCTGCAGTCCGGGTCCAGGCTCCCTGTGCGCGCGCGGGGATGCGGAGGATTCCATAGTCCCTGCGCGTCGGCTTCCACTCCACGATGCGGGAGTACAAGGTGGTGGTCCTGGGCAGCGGCGGGGTGGGCAAGTCTGCGCTGACGGTCCAGTTCGTCACCGGCACGTTCATCGAGAAATACGACCCGACCATCGAGGACTTCTACCGGAAGGAGATCGAGGTGGACTCCTCTCCGTCGGTGCTGGAGATCCTGGACACGGCGGGCACCGAGCAGTTCGCCTCCATGAGGGACCTGTACATCCGGAACGGCCAGGGCTTCATCCTGGTCTACAGCCTGGTGAACCAGCAGAGCTTCCAGGACATCAAGCCCATGAGAGACCAGATCATCCGGGTCAAGAGGTGAGCCGCGGGCCCCTCTGGGCCGCAGCTGTAACAGGAAGTGTCACTGAGCTCCTTATATGGTCATATAAACATCTTGTTTGTTTGTAAATCAGTGGTACCCAACTCTGATCCTTGAGGTACACCATCCTGCATGTTTTAGTTGTTTTCCTGCTTTGACACACCTGATGTGAATGAATGGATGATTAACCGGCCTCTGCAGAACTTAAGCAATTAAATCACCAAATCAGGTGTGTTGGAGCAGAGAAACAGCTATGCAACAACATGCAGGATGGTGTTCCTCAGGGGTCAGGGTTGGGAACCACTGTAATGTAAATACTAGAGAATCTCATTGTTTTAGCGAAATATCTAATGAACCGTTGGACAAGTTTTAATTAAAGTTCCAGGTTCTAACTCTAATTAGCTTATGGAGCCAACCCCATTCAAGATGGCCGCCACAGCCACCAGCCTTAAGAAACTACAAAAATGGCTCCAATTTGGCCAATTCTACAGATGTTGAGCTGAAATTTGGAGTGGTAGTAGCTGAGAGTCATTCACAACACAAACTGTGTTCAACTTGTTAGAGATGACTCTCTTTGTTAGCAAAATATCTCACGGACCACCAGATAAATTTGAGCAAAACTTCAAAAGGGTGACACTGCAGTGTTTCCCCTAGATCAGTTCCCTTGGCAGGGTGCTCATTGTATTTATTTTATTTTTTGGGTCAACTACGGGGACGAGACGGAATCACATCTGCGGTGCCCACCTGCTAGCTTAATGCTACGTTGCTGCCGGATTTTACCGACAACGGGGGTGGGGTACGTCAGTAGCATTTTTGCTAGCGCGTTTGTTTTCCGCCCCGCACTAAATCAATACAGACAGTTGTCGGTTGGTAGGCAGGGCGCTTGGTTCAGTTGACGGGGCGGGGCGCCCCGCCTGTGTAATGGTAGGGGAAACACTGCACTGGCTACGTGTCTACGACTGCTCATCTTTTGGAGTCTCTGCAATTCAAGATGGCCGCCACAAACTACAACTCAGTTTTATACGAATTGAGCTAAAACTGGAGGTGGTAGTAGCCGAGAGTCAGCGCCATCTCTTTGGACCGGAGCCTCCTGTTCCTCAAGGCCTCACAGGCTCCCGGTTGGGTGATTCCTGGAGGGCGTATTGGCGACATTTGGTGACGTCGTTGGAGCCGAGTACTTTATTTAGTCTACCGCTTGGGATTAGAGGAACGGGCTGCTGGAACGATCAGATCCCGACACTCTGGACTCCCAGACTTGTTGCTCGCCAGAGATCTAATGTGTTGGGTCTGAAGCCCAGACGACATCAGGCCTCCATTAGGGAGTCGTATAAACCAGAATGCTCTCAGGAGGCGCGGTGACTAACGCTCCTCGTTGAAGTTATCCTCCATGGAACATCTGGGTGTAGCCATCCCGGCAATCTGATCACCACTTGCGTGTCCATAGTGCTTCATAATGCGTCTCCACGCCGCGCTGATGCCGTGTCTGATAGCAGGAGGCGAGTGCCACGCACGGCGAGGGGGAGGAGGCGCGAGAGGCCAGAACTACGTCTCCCAGGGGGCACTCCGGTGGAGGTCCGGGGCAATTTCTTGACCGGAGGCTTTTAGTGTTTGCAATCAGGATAGAGTGGTTTGTTTAAGCAGCTGTTTTGAGTTCTTGTTGGGCTTAACGTGTTTACCGCAATAATGTGACTTAAAGAGACAGGTCTGTTTTTTTTTTTACAGGAGGTTCTGTGGAGACCTAAATGTTAGCTTTCCTATTTTTTCTTCTTTTGGATGCTCCCTTCTTTAGGGGTCGCAACAGTGAACTAACTCGCACGATGACTTGATAATTGTTTTTATGCCAGATTCTTCCGGACACAACCACAGCCCTCTGTGTGGAGCAGAGAGCTGCCATGTAGGGTGCCCTGGGGGACCAGATGGTGAGGGGTAATGGCTTTGCTCAAGGGCACAGAGTGGAGCGAATGAGGGTGGAGGCAGGTGTGGGCGTTTCACCTTTCCCACGCACTTTTTTTGTTGTCGGTCCGTGGAATTGAACCGGCAACCTTTGATCACAGGCCCATCATGTTAGCTTTTTTGATTATTCTTCGTTATACAAGCACCTAATCCTGCTTTGTACTTTGTGCTATTTTAGCCGTTCGTATTTCAAAATGCTCTGCTCATTCAGGTAGCAGGTGCTTTGACTTTTGTTTTTTGTATAACCTTTATATATTTTATAATATTTACCTTTTGTTTACAAATATTTTCTCAATAGAAATACACTGAAATCTGTTCGGTTTCATAAACAGCATTTTTCTCTTTAAAAATCTGTTAAAGCTAACTTCCTCTATTTTTGTCTTCCCGTTTTACTTTTTTACTAGTTTTGCTACTATTACCATTTAGCTAACCCTTTACCCCTTTTAGCTTTTAGTTAGCATCTTGCTACTTTTAGCTATACTTTTCTACATTTGCATTTCATTTACCTCTATTGCTACCAGTTTTGCCAGTATTAGCAATAAAGTTAATCTAGCTTCTTGCTAAAAGCAACTTTGAGATGGTTCTTTCCTATTTGGTAGTCTAGTCGTCTTCGCTTTTGTTTGTTAGGAGCTTTGAACTAGCTATTCACTACATTTAGCTTGAAACGCCCTGTGCTTCACAACAGCTTTAAGCTAACCCCTTGCTACATTGCCATCCATTTACTACATGGAAGCATTGAGCTAGCCCTTTGCTACCTGAAAGCTTTAAGCTAGCCCGGTGCTACATGAAAGCTTTGAGTAGCCCTTTGCTACCTGAAAGCTTTAAGCTAGCACTTTGAGGTAGCCCTTTGCTACATGTAAGTTTTGAGCTAGCCCTTTGCTTCTTGAAAGCTTTAAGTTAGCCCAGTGCTACATGAAAGCTTTAAGCTAGCACTTTGCTACCTGAAAGCTTTAAGCTAGCACTTTGCTACCTGAAAGCTTTAAGTTAGCCCGGTGCTACATGAAAGCTTTGAGCTAGCACTTTGCTACCTGAAAGCTTTAAGCTAGCACTTTGAGGTAGCCCTTTGCTACATGGAAGTTTTAAACTAACCCATTACTACCTGAAAGTTTTAAGCTAGCCCTGTGCTACATGGAAACTTTGAGCTAGCCCTGTGCTACGTGGAAGCTTTAAGCTATACCTTTGCTACATGTTAGCTTTGTGCTAGCCCTTTGCTATATGAAAACTTTAAGCTATACCTTTGCTACATTTTAGCTTTGCGCTAGCCCTTTGCTACATGGAAGCTTGAGCTAGCCCTTTGCTACATGAAAACTTTAAGCTATACCTTTGCTACA